TGTTATATGTTTGATAGTATGTTCTCTGTTGTACATCTATTTGATCCCTTAGTCCTTCCATTTGATCCCCTATCATTTGCTTGAAGGTATATTATCCTCATCTATATCACACTTGGTCTTACGTGATCCCCTGATATCTGTTCAATGAAAACTAAAGAATATGTACATCTAAATGGCCCACTGGTCATCTTACGTGATCCCCTTATATCTTTTCAATGAATAGTATAGTTTATGTACATCAAGATGTTTCCCTGGTCAACTTACGTGATCACCTTATATCTGTTCAATGAATACTATAGAATGTGTACATCTAGATGATCCCCTGGTCAGCTTCCATTATCCCCATATATTTGTTCCAACATATGAAAGAATATATGTACAGGTAAATGACCCCCTTGTCATCTTCCGTGATCCCTTTATTTCTATTCAATGGATACTATAGTACATGTAAATATAGTTGATCCCTTTGTCATCTTTTCGTGATCTCCATGTATCCGTTTAATAATTAGAAAGAGTATATGTACATCTTGATGACCCACTTGCCATATTACGTGATCTCCTTTTATCTGTTCAATGAATACTATAGAATGTGTACATCTAAATGATCCCCTGGTCCGATTACATGGTACTCACATATCTGTTCCATAATAAGAAACAATAAATGTACATGTAGATGATCCCCTGCTCATCTCACGTGATCCCTTTATTTCTGTTCAATGAAAACTATAGTATATGTACATATAGACGATCCCTTTGTCATCTTACGTGATCTCCTTAGATCTGTTCAATGAATACTATAGTATATGTAAATCTGAATGATCCCCTGGTCAGCTTACATGATCCCCATTTATCTGCTCTAAAATATGAAAGCATATCAGTACATCTAAATGACCCCCTGGTCATCTAATGTGATCCCTTTATTTCTGTTCAATGGATACTTTAGTAAATGTAAATATAGTTGATCACCTTGTCATATTTCGTGATCTCCATATATCCGTTCCATAAATAAAAAGAGTATATGTACATTTAGATGATCCTCTGGTCATCTTATGTGATCCCCTTTTATCTGTTCAATGAATGTTATAGAATATGCACATCTAGATGACCCCCTTGTCATCTTACGAGATCCCCTGATATATGTTCAATGAATCTTATAGTGCACATCTAGACGATTTCCTGGTCATCTTACGTGATCCCCTGATATCTGTTCAATGAATATTATACTGTATGCACATCTAGACGATCCCCTGGTCATCTTACGTGATCCCCTGAATTATTTATGTTCAATAAAAACTATAACATATGTAAAATTAGATGATCCCCTGGTCATCATACGTTTTCCCCTTATATCCCTTCCATAATAAGAAAGTAGACATGTATATCTAGACGATCCCCTTGTCATCTAACGTGATCGGTATCCCTTTATTTCTGTTCAATGAATATTATAGTATGTGCACATCTAGATGATCCCCTGGTCTGCTTACATAATACCCATATATCTGTTCCATAATAAGAAAGAATAAATGTACATGTAGATGATCCCCTGCTCATCTCACGTGATCCCTTTATTTCTGTTCAATGAATGCTATAGAATATGTAATATAGACGATCCCTTTGTCATCTTACGTGATCTCCTTAGATCTTTTTAATGAATACTATAGTATATGTAAATCTGAATGATCCCCTGGTCAGCTAAAATTATCTCCATTTATCTGCTCCAAAATATGAAAGCATATAAGTACATCTAAATGACCCCCTGGTCATCTAACGTGATCCCTTTAGTTCTGTTCAATGGATACTATAGTAAATTTTGATATAGTTTAACCCGTTGTCATCTTTCGTGATTTCTATATATCCGTTCCATAATTAGAAAGAGTATATGTACATGTAGATGATCCCCTGGTCATCTTATGTGATCCCCTTATATCTGTTCAATGATTCTTACAGTATATGCACATCTAGATGATCCCCTTGTCATCTTACAAGATCCCCTTATTTCTATTCAATGAAAATATAGCATATGTAAAATTAGATGATCCCCTGGTCATCTTACGTTATCCCCTTATATCCCTTCCATAATAAGAAAGAGTTCATGTACATTTAGATGATCCCCTTGACAGCTTACATGATAACCATATATGTGTTCCATAATAAGAAAGAATAAATGTACATGTAGATGATCCCCTGCTCATTTTCGTTATCCCTTTATTTCTGTTCAATGGATACTATAGTAAATGTAAATATAGTTGATCCCCTTGTCATCTTTCGTGATCTCCATATATCCTTTCCATAATTAGAAAGAGTAGATACATGTAGATAATCCCCTGGTCATCTTACGTGATCCCCTGATATCTGTTCAATGAATCTTATACTATATGCACATATAGACGATCCCCTGGTCATCTTACGTGATCCCCTTATTTCTGTTCTGGTCAGCTAAAATTATCCCCATTTATCTGCTCCAAAATATGAAAGCATATAAGTACATCTAAATGACCCCCTGGTCATTATAGGTGCTCCCTTAAATTCTGTTCAATGGATACTATAGTAAATTTTGATATAGTTGAACCCGTTGTCATCTTTCGTGATCTCCATATATCCATTCCATAATTAGAAAGAGTATATGTACATGTAGATGATCCCCTGGTCATCTTATGTGATCCCTTATATCTGTTCAATTATTCTTACAGTATATGCACATCTAGATGATCCCATTGTCATCTTACAAGATCCCCTTATTTCTATTCAATGAAACTATAGCATATGTAAAATTAGATGATCCCCTGGTCATCTTACGTTATCCCCTTATATCCCTTTCATAATAAGAAAGAGTTCATGTACATTTAGATGATCCCCTTGACAGCTTACATGGTAACCATATATGTGTTCCATAATAAGAAAGAATAAATGTACATGTAGATGATCCCCTGCTCATTTTCGTGACCCCTTTATTTCTGTTCAATGGATACTATAGTAAATGTAAATATAGTTGATCCCCTTGTCATCTTTCGTGATCTCCATATATCCTTTCCATCATTAGAAAGAGTAGATACATGTAGATAATCCCCTGGTCATCTTACGTGATCCCCTGATATCTGATCAATGATTCTTATACTATATGCACATTTAGACGATCCCCTGGTCATCTTACGTGATCCCCTTATATCTGTTCAATGAAAAGTACGGTATATGTACATTAAGATGATTCCCTGGTCAACTTACGTGATCACCTGATATCTGTTCAATGAAAACTATAGTTTATGTAAATCTAGATGACCCACTTGTTATATTACGTTATCTCCTTATATCTGTTCAATGAATACCAAAGTATGTGTACATATAGATGATCCCCTGGTCAGCTTACATGATACCCATATATCTGTTCCGTAATAAGAAAGAATAAATTTACATGTAGATGATACCCTTGTCATCTAACGTGATCGGTATCCTTTTATTTCTGTTCAATGAATATTATAGTATGTGCACATCTAGATGATCCCCTTATCTGCTTACATGATACCCATTTATCTGTTCCATAATAAGAAAGAATAAATGTACATGTAGATGATCCCCTGCTCATCTCACGTGATCACTTTATTTCTGTTCAATGAATGCTATAGTATATGTACATATAGACGATCCCTTTGTCATTTTACGTGATCCCTTTATTTCTATTCAATGGATACTATAGTAAATGTAAATATGGTTGATCCCCTTGTCATCTTTCGTGATCTCCATATATCCGTTCCATAATTAGAAAGAGTATATGTACATGTAGATGATCCCCTGGTCATCTTATGTGATCCCCTTATATCTGCTCAATGAATACTATAGTATATGTACATCTAAATGATCCCCTGGTCATCTTACGTGATCCCCTGATATCTGTTCAATGAATCTTATACTGTATGCACATCTAGACGATCCCCTGGTCATCTTACGTGATCCCCTTATTTCTGATCAATAAAAACTATAGCATATGTAAAATTAGATGATCCCCTGGTCATCTTACGTTATCCCTTTATATCCCTTCCATAATAAGAAAGAGGACGTGTATATCTAGATGATCGCCTGGTCACCTACGTGATCCAATGATATCAGTTCAATGAAAATTATTTTATGTGTACAAGTAGATGATCCCCTGGTCATCAAGTACGTGACCCGCTGATATCTGTTCAATGAAAAGTATAGTATATGTACATGGTCATCTTACGTGATCGCGTTGTATCTGTTCAATGAAAACTATATAGTATAAACTTGGTCCTCTTATAATGTGATTCCTAATATATTTTTCATATGAACAAAACTATACATTGTATGTATATTCAGATGATCCTTTAGTCATCTACCTTGATATCCTCACATAGGTTCATATGCTGATTAAATCATTTGGCATATGAATGAAAGCACCATTATTGCACGACTTAACACTTTAAAGCCTTTTTCCATTTTTATAAGACATTCGTGTATATTTATTAGGGGGATTAAGCATATGCACTTACATACAGTAACACTGATCATTTCCACAGATTTATAGTCTATTTTAATCATGATGATAACGCTTTATAAGAAATTCGTGCTTTATTTATAGGCGGGGCTAAATATGCAAAGTGTACGCTTACTCGATCCCTTTTTCCGTTTACCAATATACCGTGACGAATAGCGATTAAAGGGAGACAACACTGAAAAGGACAGTACGGATGTCCGGTTAGACGGACATTTTTTTCCGTCAAATAATGTGTCTTTTTTCTTATACCATTTCTAAAGACACATAGAACCATTTTATACCTATTACAAATTGGGGTTATGTGGCTAGGCACATAAATCCAGAAAGTCACATAAAGCTGTCCTGTACTAGCATGTAGACACATAAACAGGAATTGTAAGAGCGGACGCCCGGACGGACGGACGCCGGACGAAAAGCGATCACAAAAGCTCACCCTGTCACTTTGTGACAGGTGAGCTAAAAAACAACAAAAAAATAGATAAAGAAATGAATTTTACCTGTACTCATCATATTTCCTTTCATAAGATATAGATATAAGGCCTTCTTCAGCAGAGATGTCATGCATCTTTCTCCATGCAGGCCCTGTAACCAGGTTATCCACAAGTTTTCCCCAGCCTTTAATATATGTATCAGTAACAACTGGTTAGTTGATTAGTAATACTGAAGTTAACCTTGCTTATTCAACAAAATTGAAATTTGTAATATTGTTAAATTCTCTAAACTGTAATACTATGTTATTTGAAAGGGTATTGAAAATCTAACTACTAATAGTAAAGTGAAAAAAATTATAATGAAATCAATTTATCTGGTAAAAGGTAAAGATAGCCTAGGTATAAATCTTTGAAGAATAATCTATGTTCTGCATTGAAGTCTGTTTTAAAATACTTCATGTAAAAACAGACATTTAACTTTTAAATTTTCTTTCAAATCAAACATTTGAAAAGAATACATTGTATAAGTTCATAACAATGTGCTTAAATTTATTTCGAACAAAAACTCATTTTATCATAAAAATATTCAAATGAGCTGTTCCTGTACGAAAATTCTGAGCCAATTCTGTACAGACTCTGTACCAACTCTGGTTGTTATAGAGGCAGATTTTCATTTTTCTGTACAGAGTTGACACCGACACAGAATTGGACACAGAATCGGCCTAAGAAATATGTGATTTTCTGTGCAGAATAAAACAGAATCAAAAATTTTTCTGTACAGAAAAATTTTCACACAGATATTTTGCTCTTAGTTATTTTTAAAAGACAGATTTTCAATACTTAGAAAAAAAATTGAGGCAGAATTTACATAGACACACAGAATTTTAACACTTAGATAAATCTTGAGACAGAATTTACTTTTCTAGCCAGAATTTCACTCTGAGTTAATCTCAGAGTAGTAGATAGATATTCTGTAATATCAGGTGTAACCCCCATGTAACCCCTGTTGGTCAATTCAAATCTCTCAGACTGCCACACGAGGTTTTATTACACAAAGTGTCTTCACATTGGCAAAGATTAAAACATTGGCAAAGATTAATATGTTTTGTTTAGTTTATTTTTCTAATGATAAGTAAACAAGTTAGTTGTTGTGAAGAGCAATCATGTAGAGACTTGAAAATCTCAGATTTAGGGGCCAAAGAGGAATTATGATGGAATTATAATCAAAACCAGAGGTAAGATTTTGCTATGTTTTCTTTGAATTTTTCTTTGAATTATTTGGTTATACCTTCCACTGTAAATAAAAGAAATTATTTATACATCTTTTAATAGTCTATGAATTATCTATATTAGTTAAATTTACTCTGATTTGAGACAGACCACTATGGTCTAATGAGTATAAAATTAATGCACTGAGGTCAAAGCTGGGCCAGTGAAATTATTAGTTCATAAATTGCTTTTTGATCAGTTGATAGCTCAAGATCTATTTTTTTTTTAATTTCTTGCTCTATTATGCAATAAATAGTTTAGCTTTTGGTTTTGCTATTCTATAATTCAATTCATTTAGTTTAAATTAATCAATTCAAAACTCCCGGAAATTGTGTAGAATGTATGACCAGCAACGGTTGCTATGGTCAGTGCTTATCAGCAATTCTATTTTTAGAATATTGGCCACTTGTAAATCTCTCCTATTTTAAGTTATGTTGCAATTTACATGACTGTGTAGATTTGTAACACAAGCTTTCAGGTCAGGGATGATATATGTAACCAGTTTTGCTAGTCAGTGACTTTGATGTTACTGGGTGCAAATAAACTTAGGTTAATAGGGATACAATTGTAACTGTTTTATATACACATTGAAATTTTTTACAAATTTTGCATATCATTTAATAATAGAATGAACATAATTCAAATTCCTTTTTTTTACTCTAGATTATGTCAGGATGTGTGTGTGGTGCAAAGACAGAGACAAGCCAATTCCTGATGACAGCGCCCTCAACAAGGCTATTACTCATTGGATAGACCTCTCAGGAAAGAAATGAATAAAAATTGTTAATTAAAATTAATAAATAAGAAATGTTCAAAAGGAAAATTGATTTTGTTTTTAGCCAAAAAAACGAAAATCTGTACAGAATATTTTCTGTACAGAATTTTTTCTGTGCAGAATTCCCTTTCAGATATTTCCTATGGACAGGGTTAATTCTGTACAGAATATGAAGAAGCCCAGATTTTTTTTCTGCCCAGATTTTTTTTTCTGCCCAGATTTTTTTTTCTGCCCAGATTTTTTTCTGCCCAGAAAATAATCGGCTTAATTTAAATATTTCAGAAAAAATCTGTACAGATTTCGTTCTTTATCCTTATTGCTAAAATCTATTAATAGAATTCTGGTTCAACTTTGTTTCATTTGACCAGATTTTTTTCTGTACAGACTCTGTACAGAGTTTTCTAAATAAAGTCTGTACAGATTCTGTCTGCATTCTGCCCAGACTTTTTCGTACAGGTTACTTTCTTACACTTAATTTCTGCATCAGACATCCTTAAATAAATAAATAATCTGTAAGATGCCATGCATTTATAAGACCATCAAGAAAATAAGGATAGAAAATTGGTACCTGTGAACTTTTCAACATACGGCTGTTCCTTTTCACATTGTAAACTGAGATTGTACATCTCCGTGGCAACTCTCTCACCAAATCTAACTAAATCTGGTTCTATATCTATCAATACCTACAAACAATGTGATGAAACAACGTCAAAATCTAGACAAGTGGAATTCTCTTAAACAAAAGCTTCTGTGGCTTTTGCTAAAATTTTATTTTAGTAGTACTAGGGTAGTATTTAAGTCAAATTTTCAAGGTCCTGTAGTGACTATGTATATTTTATAATGAAAGAGCAGATTTCTTACATGAAGTGTAACAATGCATTCCTATTTATATTTGATACAATGATTTTGATTAGATTCATTTTCCTAAAAAAGCTAAAATTACAATGAATCTTACAAATGTCTATTACGCAATATGCTGGGTCAAATCAGAGACATATACAATGTATGTAGATAACAGAGATAGGCAACTTCCTAGCCAGTTAAGATATCATGTGTGTTTGTTAAACTTAAAAATGTAAAAATTAAAACTCAACCGGATATGAATATCAGTAAATGAAGAATATTCTGAAAGCTTGTACATTTGTCTATGGCTGTAGGTAAAAACATTAACAAAATTATACCTCATTTCTTGAAGGGAACTACTTATTAACTTTTGTTACAAAACTATGCATATGATGAAAAACTTGTTCAGTGGGTATGTTCTGCTAGGTTATTTCAAGTAAAATCCTAGAAAGTGTTACCAATATTTTAACATGCAGCAGTAGATAAAAGATTTAACATTCAAATGGTGTATACTATATAAGGCTCAAATCTACATCCATTCAGTTTTAATTGCTGCAACATGTCTAACTTTTTACTTTTTGATAGGCATGAGTGATATTTCAATGAAGAATATAGGAGCTGCTTATCTCTGTTATCTATATCTCTGTTCTAGCAAAATATTTCTCATTTCAAAAATGTTAAGACATGAGATTTAAGATTTACAAACATACCTTTTGTGGCACATATCTCTTTAAATAGGACTGGAGTAAAGCATCTTCAAGGTACTGGTTTCCAAGTACAGGTGCCTCTTGCACAAAGGTTCCTAGCCTTGCTCTTGCAAATGGGAAATCAAACTCTCTAACAGCCCCTTCAAATGATGAAGCCTGCGTGTGCTGGTCTCTGGAAAAGCCATTATGAATTGTCCTACTATGATGGGCTATAAGTGCCAGTGGATTTGAGGTCTGATGCAGAGTGAATAATTTCCTAACACAAGCTTGTTTGATTCTGCTTACAATCATTTTGCTGTCACTATAATGATCTTGTCATTTACTCATAGTATTCAAAACTTGGCTGAAAGAAAAAAATCAGAGTTAGTTGCTAATTAAATTCTATACACATGTAAGTCTACAATAGACAATAGGTGGCGCGATAGCTCAGTTGGTTAGACCACTGATTATCACTCCTGAGGTCCCGGGTTCGATCCTGGGTTAAAACCTTGGGATTTTTCAAAGACACTTTCAGTGTTTCCCACCTAACTAGAGGTGAACTGGTAAGAAATCCAGGTAATCCTCGCATGTATCAGTGCTATACACTGGGCATGTAAAAGAACCAAGGGGTCTATTCAATAAGAGCTAGGGACTGGTTCCCGGATTCCCTTGTATCTCTTAGCTGTCTCTTAAAAATGTATACAATGTATACCTGCTTAGAGTGATCGTAAACGATTTTAAAGCAGTATGATGTAGAACTGATGTAGAACTAGACAATTATTGGCCTTTTTGGAAAAACATGCATAGTGGACCCTGGAAGATGTTAAAATTATATTAGCATACTTGCTTAGAAGGGACTGCTGCTCCCCATCCACCCAAAACCACTGCTTTTAAGTTTTTAACATATTTCTTTCTAGCAGTACAAAAAAATCAGAATAACACCTACTTACAGAATAAAAGCAAAGTTATGGAAGCGTATTCACCCTTGTTTTAGGGTCCAATATACTAGATTCTATCCAACCTGTTTTAATACTATGAAAAACAACATTCATTACTCAGTTCTGATACAGGTAAACAATAAACAGTACTTCAAGGCTGAACACCAAGTCAAGCCAGAACAACAGCATTTATATTAGAATGGTCCACATTACAAGATTTACTAAGAGTGATATTAAAAAACTAGATACTTAAACATAAAGGAAAGGTATGGTAATTATATTCAAAAAGATAACTGACATTAAAATAAAATGGATATCATTCATTAAAAATAAGTTATCTCTTTATCATTTATATTGTCACAGCTTGAATGCTATGATATCCTCTGTGCTTCTTCAGTGAAAGTCAAGTCAGTTTCACAACTTTCTTTGATAAATCGGATTAAAAAGCAGTGACTCTACCTTTATAAACATCAAAGATTGACAGATTCTTTTGGACAAACGGCTAGTCACCTGTTTGACGTTTATCGGAAAATGCGGATTTGATCCATGTAGAAATTAGAGTGGTTGGACCAATGCTCGGTGCATACCAATGCTCGGCGTAAAAAAAATTTTTTTACAATATCTGAAAATGTCTCGAGTTATCTCCGATTTAGGTCACTGGTGCTTTTATTTACATCTTTCACCATTTTATCCTGGTGTGGTTCACTGCTGGTAAAGTCACGTGACAATGCTAATAGCAGACGAACAACCGTATGTAATCCCCAACATATAAATTATTAAAATCTTTTAACACTAGAGTTCTGGGGCTGTAAAATTAAAACTAAAAGTTGGGTACTTGTAAATGTATGAACCTAATTTGGTTGTTACAATTTATTCAATATGTTTTCTTCATAAGATAAAAAAGAGATTTTATTCGAAAAACAATCCTGCATAATGTAGAATTGTACACCGAGCTATGGTACAATTTCACGCAAACCACTCTTGTTTATCCGGACTATCTATAGCTCCAGCCATGCACGTCATTATGTGATTAGCGAATTTTACACAATGGCTATTTAAAACAATATCATTGGTCTTGAAAATGGACATATAACATTGAGGGTTTGTTGACGTTGATTTGAATTTGCCATATCATATAGTATTTTTACGCCGAGCGTTGGTCCACCCACTCTAGCTTCAAATCCGCGGTTACGTCTAAATATTTGGACTAGCGTAAGATGTAACCTATCAAATGAGATTAGGTGTCAAAAATATGTTTACCTCGTGTGTGGTTTATCTAATCGTGTACTTTATTCAATCATATAATGACAAATTAATCACACGAGATTATTTTAAAAACAAAAATGGGACTCCAGTGCAAATGGCGTTTTAAATAATAAGGGAAGTAACTGCGATGAAGGAAATACCGGGATCCGGGATCGTATTAAATATTCGTCGTCCGGTTAGCTCAATCGGGTCAGATCGATACGCCCTTATAAACCCTTTATCAAAATATTTTAATATTTAAACACGAATGGGACATCTGTTACAACGATAAAACTGGTTTTCAAACAATTTCTACATATATATAGATCTACCACCAAGTCTCAATTTATTGAGCTAATTAAGTCACCTTGATGTGGGGTCTTTCAAACAGAATATTTGAAAGACCCTGGCTAAGTCACACAGCACACTCAAACTGGCAATTTAGTGGCCGCGTTAGATCCCCTTGCAGGTTCGGAGGAAAGTATTACATTTCTTGACGGGACAAGACCAGAATGTAAACTTCCGACATTTTGTATCCATCCATGCATGTATCCATCCTTTCATTTATTCTTCTACCATTTCACTGAGACATACGTCGTTATGGCACATGCAGATTCGCAAAGCATTTAAAAATGAAATAAGATAAATAAATACAGAAAAGAAAAAAAAATGAAATAAAGTAACAACACCAGAGACTGGTCTCATTTAACAGTAAGCCTAGATATGGTTGCACTGGATAGATGGAATTTTAAGGGCACCACTCGAGTTGACTGGATGGTTTTCGATTCAATATCATGAAACCCTATATGGAATTAATTAAGGAATCAAACTTACAAAAACAGTCTGAAGTTGTTGTAAATAACCTACAACTTAACAGTAGGGTTTTAAACATATTAAATCAAATATGACATATGAAAAAAATAGATAAAAAAATAAATAGAATAAACACGCACAATGAAAGCTGATTCAAATAGGACTGGTAAGAGAAACGAGACGGTTGACATTTCCATGACTCTAAAATTGATCGCTGAGAATCTTGTGCACAGAGACGAATATGAATATTGATCCAGCCTTCACAGTATATAGCTGTGATAAATAACGCTTTTATTTAAGGTACGTGTTGTAAAATATAAGTAGATAAACATAAGTCCCTAGATTTGATCGATCGCTTAAAAAAGGCCCATTATGTCTCAGAAATGCTTTTATTTTTATTTCTCAAAAGCTTTTTAAGTTTGGTGTACATTCATATCCAAATAATCCTCACTCGTTGGCCAATTATCTGAACCATCTTTTTCATTTGTTGCATTTTTGTCAATAAGTACATTTACAGTGAATTAGTATTATATATGGAAGAAAAAATAACACTTTGTTTACATTTTGCTACCTTTGGTGACAAAGTATTCCACAATTATCACTACCTTCTTCAGATAGCGAGCATTTATATCTTTTTCTAAAACCATTATTTAAACATTATAAAATTCATATTTTCCCTTTCTAAAGAAGTAAAAATTTACTTGTTTCTGAGGCATAATGTACTACGTACATGCCTTAATTGGTTACCTGGTTAAATAATCAAACTACTGCGAAAAAGACTATCAGAATTGTTTTTTTTTTATTCTCATTGGACTAAACTGAGCGTTGTTTAAAGCGTTTATATGTTCCTATAACTATTCGTCTATACCATGGTCACGATTCATTGGTTGCAGATAGATATTTTTAAATGCTCAAAAGTATGCCGATATGCCAATAAATCTACACTGTTATTTCATAATTTTATTTTTATATTGACGTTGCCCTACTCTGATGAACCTACATACGTGTTCAAATTTTCTAGTCAATCGGAACGGGATTTTTTTTAGTGACGTCATATCCATCAAGATGATTAAAGCATCTTCCACATACGCAATCTGCAAAGAGGAGATAATGTTAATGTCCTTCACAGAATTATAATAAGCTGGCATTTATGAAATTTAACTCAGAGTATTAATTTTTGTTGAATAAGATATTTCATACCCAGAAGATGATTTTCATAATGTTGTGTGGAAAAGATGTGGAATATGGAATATTGAAATATTCTTGCAGCCACCGTGATCCGGTTAGACGTGAAAAATTAAATCTTTAATAGTCTTTGTCGGGTTCAAAACTGTATGTACATAATATAAAATTACAAACCACACAATCACATTCATGAATGTAATTATTTTTAAAATATCTATTAAATTTAATGTCCATTTAAGAATTTATCATTGTCAGTAAGTTCAACAAACTGATAACAAAATATACTTGAGCATACATCTTATCTTTATTGGAGCTTCTTCAAAAACGCCAGAATGGTTCTCTTGACTTTTTCCGATATTGAAATAATTTTAACACAACTGAACAATATGCAATGTATGTCAGGAGTAAAATGTCACGGCAGACTAGAGCTATTGAACTGGAATGTAAAAACGTTTGTATCAAGTTTCATTAGCATACGAGTGCGTTCAGGGTATGACACTATTTGTATTTATAAATAGAATTTAAAGATGACTTAAGAAACATGTAACATTCATATGTTAGTAATAAAAAAGGCGATACAATCATGTCAATGGACGTTATAAAATTGTTATTTGGTTTTACTCTTTATCTATCAGGAATACATTTGGCTGCAGGTAAAAACTACATGTACATGTACTACAATTACGGTGTTTAAAAATGAAATTAAAGCTTAGATTTTAGATTACAGGATCTTCATATTTTTGTTTATTCTTATAAACTAACATTTATGATAATGTACAATACATGGATTGGCCTTATTTTCCATTACCTTGACATTTACCCGGCATTTCGTGAAGCGAATGTTAAAAAGTTTGATGTAATGTAATGCATAATGATATAATTTTTATACAAAAGTAACAAAACCCCAACATATTCTGAAAAAGTACTTATTTTGGTTTTAATATGAAATGAAGTAACTATTATAAAACATTAAAACATGATTAAAGAGAGTGAGAAAAAAGGACTTTTAATGATTTCCATTAAGTTTTCTTTGTGTTTTGCAGTACGACAGGCTGCGAGGCCTATCGTTATGTTGATATAATGTGAATTTGCATAAAATAATCATGCTAGAAATGGATTGTACTCTCATATATCATAAAAGACTTCTTGTATCAGGTGTAATCATATGCCATAAAATTTTAACGTTGTTTATTTGTTAATAATAAGCAGTGTCCTACTTTCCATGCGAGGTCAATAACCTAGCTATAAAAAAGGTATTTTTAGTTATTACAATACGAATGTGACTGAGCATAAAACTGCATTACTTAAGTTACTTAAATTAATTCATTGGAAGTCAAACATCGGATAACGAAATCGGCTTTCTAATTTTCAGATTTTCTTTGTTCTTTTCTGCTTCAACTATTTCCACATATTGCGCACATCAAATGATTTTTTACCTTCCTTTATTGTCAAACATATAAGTTTGTATATATGCTTTATACCATTTAATATGTGATGAAACTGTTTGATCATTTGGTAATTGCCTTGCTGGCATCATCATGTTCGGGTTTGACACACTGAAGTAGATCTATCATTAAATGACTAGCAGATTCTTTGTCTTTTGTCCCAAGTGAAATATAGAGGGTCGTAACTGTATTTTGTTTGTTTCCTTTCAAGTATTGTTCTTACAATGTACAAATGTATGTACAATTGTATGCAACAAATGATTTACCATTCTTATTATCCGCACATGGATTTTTAACCATTATAAGTACATATAACGTTATTACCGGAAATCCACATACCGAAAAAAAATCTGGTGAACCATATAAAAATCAGAATTGAAAACATTTTACCAAAATATCTTGTGCCAGATGTATTATTTTTCAAAAGACTTGTAGCACATTTATCTGACAGACATTCTTCTTTTAAAAATCTGTCAGTATATATATAGTTAGTTTGGCTCTAAACAGATGTTTCCCATATCTAACAGGAGCTGACGGAGAATGTAGTGCTTTCTGTGTACAGCCGGAAACGGGGCTCTCATGTGATAATATCACGGGTGACTGTTTACAAGGATGTCAGCCAGGATATGCCGGTTCTAAATGTAACATACAGTGTTGTTCCAACTGCAACGATTGTGTTCTAAATCAAGGAAGGTAACTGTAGTTCTTTTTGTTTTAATTATTGCATTTTTTAATATATACCCCCCCCCCGGGTAATGTTATTACGTATTGTTCGTTTTTAATGCAGGGGGAAGTAATTGTATTTACGTATTGTTATACTTAATATATTTGCTTTAAATCAGAGGGAGATAATTATTATTCCGTATTGTTATACTAAATATATTTGCTTAAAATTAAGGGGGTGTGGGGGGGGGGTTCAGTTTAGTCCTACCATATTAAATAATAAATACTTGTTTAAATGCCTATATGGCTTTATTGTAAATCAGGAAAAGTAAATTTTGTGATTTTAGAACTGTTAATTCAATATTATCATATGTGTGACTTTATATCAATATACATGTATAGTTATACATATAGTCATATATATAGTGCATGGAAATAACTTTTACCCCAATACGTACTTGAAATGATTGTGACTTTTCTACTTTTGTAAATTAATCAGTCTAGTTAATATATTGACCAATTTATTTTTGTAAATGCTTACTATATAACTGAAATTCTGCATTCTTGCAGTAAACGTAACAATGTCATAATGCAATGATACTGCAGACTCTGAAAATATTTTTACTATCTACATTGGTAAACTATGCGAGCTATTTTCGCGATAACATTAAATCTGTTATAAACCATATGTTACCAAACGTTTATTGCTATGAATATGTGACATATATCCGCATATAAAAGCCTTATAAATCACAGCTGTTTATTAATTTCCAAAATTGGGAGTTTTCTTTTTTCTGGAGTTAAAAGTAAAAAAAACGATATATAATTAAGTTTTTATGATATTTTCTTTTCTATTTAAATACAAAATAAACTACTTTGATTTAAAAACTGCGCCGATTAAACTGGAAACGTTCAAATATGCTCATTTTTGCGCTGTCAAGATTAGCTGAATTAGTGATATATTTCAAAAAATTGTCTATTATAATGACGACTGACCAATAATTGATCGTGAAAAATGTTGAAGATAATAATTATATAAAACCTACCAATTTCATCAAAAAGACTGCTCTACTCTTTAAAAAAATCATAAATACCGAACAATTCTGAACAATATAGATAGACATCCCGTGGGTCACATGGATCATTAATTATGTTTGAATGATTTAACACAATTACGAAAAAAATATAATGATGTTTTGACTTTTACCAGTATATTCACCATTTTCATTTTGGTGGACATAATGTCATTTCAACAGATATTTTATATTGATAAATAAGTGATTTGATATTGGCCCTGTTATTTGTCCGAGGACAGTCGTATTGGCACAAGGCCGAAGGCCCCGGGCCAAAACAACTGACCCGAGGACAAATAACAGGGCCAATATCAGATCACTTATTTATTGACAATTTAATTAAATAACTACATGTACTTATAATATTTCACATTTACCCTTGGATATTTCTTCTTATTTTAATTCTAACATATTTTAATTATAACAAAGAACATTTTGTTTCATTTATGCAACCTATCGGCGTCTACACATAGACCGAGTTAAAACAAAATGTGACTGCCATTTCCAAGTTTCTTGCAGAAATCTATATCATTTTTGGCCCTGCTTTATAAGCCAATCAAATTATTTCAAATGCGGGTTTATATCTATATCACTTTTCGACCCGAGGCCGAAAAAGTGATATAGATATTGGCACTGTTTTAGGGAAGGCCATCGTGTTATTGAACGTGGCAGGTGCTTTTTTATAGGACTAATAACGTATAGTTATTTGATAAATGTATTTATAAACACTTCACAGAATGATAGCACTTACTTTCACAACGAAAATGTAGAAATTTGATTCCTGAAAAGCAGATGAATCAGGAATTTAGGTACACCCCTACACAACAACAATCCAGGCGATGATTTTCGGATCGGACGATTGATTTTGATTCATGCACAGGCACCGGACGGTCATTGTTTTGTCGTACGGCGATCGCGCAGCATGATCTTTTTGTTGTTGCCTAAAATGTATCTGTGAATATTTTTTTGATTAAACATGAACATTATGGTCCAGCAAGAACGTCTACGCGTATTAGTATTAAGGAAAAGGCAAACTACAATTGTTGCATTTTTTGCTTGGTCTTCATCTCGTCTCTATCAACTGCCTTCTTTGCTGGCATATTGACCACTGCATGGATGATTTTTATAAGAATGTCATTAAATAAATTAACAGCTGCCTCTTCTCTAAATTAGAAAAGGAAATTGCATACAAAATCAAGGTACCTCTTTACTATGGGATCATTAGGTCTGTTTTTTGTTTGTTTTTGTTTTTTTTTTAAATATTTTAGGTTTTTATGTAGTTCTGGCTTCCAAAACTTTAAAAGCCGCTATTTAACATTTTTGTTTTTCATCTGATGCGGCATGTCATAGTATATAAACGGGTACGCTGAAGACCTTAAGCTAGTTTTTATGTGGAATGGTCTTTTCGTTAGGACACCTTGAAGTTATATTCTAGGTTTGTACAATGAAACTGGTAAACTATTTAAATCATGCGTCTTTACCTCTATGATCAGCCACAACTTAATCATGGTTTGATAGTTTACCCCCCCCCCCCCCCCCCCCCCCACCCCTCATGGCACCCACCAATTCCCACCCAAACGAAAGCTAATACAATTTTATGCTATGATCATTCATATTTTACGCAAAGATTGAAGTAAATGACAAATGGCATATTATGAATGTATGTCATTTTAATATTTGTATGTCTAGTTTACGGAAATGACGGAATAGCTAGGTAGTGTACAAACAAAGAAAATGATATTTAGAAAAAAGAGAATTATTAAATGTGTATGCATTTAAACAGTTTACCATTCATTAAAATGGGCCACATATATCTCAGTGAAAACAGTCGAAGAAATATTATTTTATTAGTACATGTAGTTAAAAGGCATTATGTATAATTCGAGTGAATATGAAATATATCTCACACGGAAGTGAAAAATATCCATATTTTCATTTCTCAGTGAGACAAACATTTTTTATTTGTTTTGTTCTGGAATATGAAACTTAGTTTGGATAAGAAATACAACCATTGTGTGTTGTTTTTTATTACAGCGTGACAGCTATAGTTTGTAATGGATGTGCCAATGATTATTACCTAACTGACGGAGATTGTAAACCATGTAGCGAAAGCTGCGCCAGAAATGACAGTTCCTCTACTTCAGTCTGCAGACAGTCGGACGGACGATGCGAGTTTGGTTGTGTGGCGGGCTACTATGGTGACAAATGTATGAGTCAGTGCAGTGCTACATGTAAGGGGAACACGTGCAATTCTGACGGTAAGGAAATGTGAATGCATATTAAGACTGTGAAAAAATAATAGTATCCTTAAACTTGGTAATCACGTTCTGCTTGCAGACGTATTTTTTAAATTAGTAAAATAATTAGAAGTCATTAGAATTTATTATGATATACCAGTATGTCATAATAACTTTCCATTTTTCTTTTGTTAATATATTATTTGCATATATTGCATTTGAAACAAAATGTGAATCTGCACTTTATAAATAGTATTATCCTTTTGACCAATTATTTTCACAGGGTCGTGTGCAAATGGCTGCGTTCTATCAGTATTGACGGGGCCTCAATGTCTGGACTCGTGTAGTGAAGGCTGTGTTAAACGAGAGTGTGATCAGACTGGTTCGTGTCTCGAGAGTTGTACTCCAACTTACTGGAACACAGACTGCCAGGACGCGTGCAGCCCGAACTGTCATAGACCAAAAGATCTTGACACTAGGGTTTGTAATTTGACCACTGGGTTCTGTCTACACGGATGTGCTAACAATACCTACTGGGATACCAACTGTACTGCAGAATGCAGTAATAACTGCGCAGACCGGAAATGCGATTATTTGACTGGCGATTGTTCAGACGGCTGTGTAGATGAATATGAAGGACCAAAATGTTCTGAAAGAAGTAAGATACTGTTGAGATTTATGATGATTATATATGATTAAACTATCATAAAAGAACATAGAATTTGTGCATAAACAAAATTTCTAAAAGTACTTATAAATTTGTATATCACGACCTAAGGGGAGTAACTTCAGGTAATAATATATTATGTCCCTTATCGTTATAAGCCTTTGATAGAGTAAAGAAAATCTTTGGACAGTCGAAATAATTCAAGCATTTGCATACATGGAATCGAACTTTGTTTAAATCACTTAACTAAACAGGACAAGTTATTATCAATTATAGTAACATCGGATTAAAAACTAAGATTGCTATGTACAATAAAGCTTCATTTAAAACACCAACTTTACGCGATGCAGGTCAAAAACTTGATGTAAGATGTAATTAAGAACACGAATATTACATATATACACCCTACGTGAAGTGGACAGTTAAGCGTGAACTTTAAGAGACATTTGTAAACGTCAAAACACTAACCTAATAAGACATACAAGTGGAAACACTACTTATAAGTGGCATTCAAGTAAATACACTACCTTCGTGTGATGGACACGTTGACACACTGACAATAACGTATAAGTGGTATCCCCGTAAATACACTGACTTTATGTGACGTACACGTTGCAACACGGACTTTAACTGGTATCCACGTAAATACACTGACTTTATGTGACGTACACGGAAAAAAATGGACTATAAGTGGCATCCACGTAATACACTGACTGTATATGACCTACACGTTGAAACACGGACTATAAGTGGCATCCAAGTAAATACACTACCTTCGTGTGATGGACATGTTGACACACTGACTATAACGTATAAGTGGCATCCCCGTAAATACACTGACTTTATGTGACCTACACGTTGAAACACGGACTATAAGTGGCATCCAAGTAAATACACTGACTTTATGTGACGTGCACGGTGACACACCGACTATAAGTGGCATCCACGTAAATAATCTGACTTTATGTGACGTACACGCTGAAACAGGGACTTTAAGTGCCATCCCTGTAAATAATCTGACTTTATGTGACGTACACGTGACACATTGACTTTAAGTGGCATCCACGTAAATGCACTGACTTTATGGAACGTACACGTTGAGTCACGGACTATAAATGGCATCCACGTAAATACACTGACTTTAAGTGACGTACACGGTGAAACACGGACTTTAAGTGGCATCCACGTAAATGCACTGACTTTATATGACGTACACGTTGAGTCACGGACTATAAGTGGCATCCACGTAAATACACTGACTTTAAGTGACGTACACGGTGAAACACGGACTTTTAAGTGGCATCCACGTAAATGCACTGACTTTATTGACGTACACGTTGAGTTCACGGACTATAAGTGGCATCCACGTAAAATGAACTGACTTTATATGACCTACACGTTGAAACACGGGCTTTTAAGTGACATCCCTGTAAATACACTGACTTTATGTGACGTACACGGTGACACACCGACTATAAGTGGCATCCACGTAAATGCACTGACTATATGACGTACACGTTGAGACACCGACTATAAGTGGCATTCCACGTTTAAGTGACGTGTACGGTGAAAACACGAACTATAAGTGGCATCCACGTAAATGCACTGACTTTATGTTACGTGCACGATGAAACATGGCCTTAAGTGACGCTGAGAGTTATTAGTCACGTAATCATTAAACTCTCTAGACTTTAATGACGTCGAATACATGGACTGACTTTAAATAACGTAGTCATAGAACCACCTGAAGCAACAATGACATTTAATTGGAGGTAATCATGACTATGAGTGACCTAGACTTTAATTGATGGCGTTAATTAAACTGACTTAAAATGACATGGATATTTAAATGTTTGGAAAACTTTGACGTGACGTAGATTTTTTAGCCCCTAATATAAATTTAAATGGCAAAAGTTTTAAAAATCTGACAAATTCATAGACGTAAAAAAATCCCTAAATGACGTAGCGTTGAGCCCCCTTTTAAATGCCTGAGGAAATCCCCTTAAGAAATCGTTCTATGTTGACTTTGAAAAGGGCTACTATCCCCAATTGATTGTTTGACTTTTTTGATTTTTCTTGCGCGTAAATAAACAATACTAGCCCGAAACAGCCCAAAAATTTTGCCCTGGTTAATCGGGTTTTCATTTTTAACTTGATCTTTTTACATTTAACATAAATTTACCCATTAAATTAAAAATGGCTATTTTGTTAGTACATTTAATTAAAAAAAGGGACAAAGACTTTAATTTTTAATCTATGTTTATGTCAAAATGTAGACTTATGTCAACAGGTAAAAACGCATATGTTATTCAAGTAACTGTAGACGAATTAATTTGGTTATACATGATGTCATCACCGTTTATATACATATACATGTATTACATAAACCCAAAATCGTCGTCTATAATTGATAATTCTCAGATAATAATAAAGGAAGAGAAACATGTGTTGAATTATTTATATAAATAAATTCATGTATATTATATTTTTTCAGTAAAGGCAGACCCTGATATAAAACCTATAGCGATTGGAGCCGGCGTCGGAGCGTTCGTTGTCATCGTCATCATAATTGTTATAGTTGTCGTCTGCTGGAGAAGAAAACGTAACAAATTTTAGTTGAAATTTGGATGGCAAATATATCATCGACTAAAACTGAACTTTTCTTATTCAGGGACACTTCTCTATGTTTAGAAAAAAAATAGCTGTGTGTCATTTGAATCATATTAACATTTTATGTCTGACTTTATGATGACGTCATGAACGTTTAATAACGCCATGAGGAGATGTGAATTATTCATTTGTGTGTTAGCTATATATTCATTTGTGTAGGTTGGTTAGTTTGATATGAATTGTATAACGTCAAATCTCATACCACAAGTGACAGAGCCATTCAAATAACAAAATGGCTGAAGTCGGTTAAGTTGTTGTTAATACGCGCAGCTTTATAAAACTTGATTAGAAAAGTAATTAAAAATAGGGTTACGTGCACCGGTAATTGAAGAATTTAGTGGGGACTTAAGTTGATCATTTTGCAGTGATGGTGGTCGCCGTAGTTTACCCTCCGGATCACCACAGGGAACCACATTACATTTACCAGAGCACAGTTCAGCCAACGCATCATTCCTGGGTAAACTTTCTAGCCGTTTACAAGTACTATTTTCCTTCGCTTTCGCAAGGAGCTGATAACTTATTTCTGTACTTGCCAACGCATATAGGTGCGGTGCAAAATGACCGTAGAATCACAACAACGACCTGCGCTGTGACCGAACCTCCTATTCCAGTCTAATACTCTACATTTGAGCTAACCGGACGGCTTTTAAGTTTGGTCGTTAAACGACTTTGTTTCATTTATAAGTGGTTGGTTTATTTACTTACGCTGCATCTGCGCCTGTATTGTATTCTAATTATAATATATAATTATATATATATTAAAGGTAATGTAATGATGTTAAATGTAATTGTTTTTTTATTTAAAAAATTTTCTTTTACGACCCTTTAAAGATAATTTAGGATTTGTTTTTCAACAAACGAATTTTTGGTCTTTTATTTTACAAACAATGCTTTTTAAAAAGTTCTGGGTACAGGTTTTAAACGGTGTTGGTAGTCAGGTAGTTCAAAGCAACTATTTCTCTCATTTTTAGTTTTATCTGTTATAGGTTGGAACAAACAAAAAGTAGACAAAATTTAAAAACAAATCATATTTACTGGAAACAGTAATATTAAAATACTGTAATAAAAGAAAACCCAAAAAAGGCATTTTTGTTAAAAATTTTTTCGGTTATTACTCGCTACTTAAAATAAAGGAAAATTTTTTCATAAGTTCAGATGTGCTTGAAACAAAAATTTTCTCCACCCATATTGAATATTTTTTCACTCAACAAAAAAAAGTGTTTTTTATTTATATTAAATAAAATAAAGCGTTTTAATTATCCGATTTTTAATGTGGTTTACAAAAACTACAAATTGAGGAAACCCTTTTTCCGTTCCCTCAGCGGGAATTTTGGGGTTTTTGCCCCTGGATAAAACCGTATACATTTTTTAAATTTTTTAATTTATGTATTAACCTTTTGTTTTGAATAATTTAGATATTGTTAAATTTCTATTTTAAATTTTTCGTTACCCCGGGTTTCTTTTTTCCTTTTTCCCCCGAAAAACGGTTTTTCACCTTCAAAATAAGCGTCTAACGGCCGTACCGAAATTTCAAACTAACAAAGTTTTATCGTTTCACAAGACTGCCGGGGCGATGTCTCTGAATCCCATGTGACAAAAGACGTCATTCCACTTCCGTCGTCGCAAACCCCATAGATACCAACGGGTTTTCCCGCAAACAAAAAATTTCCGTTTTCATCTATAGTAACCCCCCATATTTTTGGAGGGGTTCCCCTTTTGCGATCAAAAAAAACCCCCACCTTAATGTTCGTAAAACCCCTTTTTTAAAAAAAAGAAAAAAATATGGCTTCTTTCTGACTGGCAAAATTTGCTTTCCTAGGGAAAATTTTTTTTCCTGGTTTTTTTTTTTTAAACCTCCCTTTTCATTTTTTACCCGTTAAATTTTGTATTTGACCCAGCAACGAAAAATTTTTTCTTTTTTCCAATCTCTAGGGCGTCCCCTTCGACTTCAATGCATCTGCTCTGCTTAATTACTTCATTCACAGATTAAACGTAAATTTTGTTGTTCTTTTCCTCCGTTCCGAGTAGCTACACCTCACGGCTATCTCTGATCCTGACATGGCTACAATATCCCAAGGGGAGTAATCAAGTTTAATCACGACACTACAGTTCTCTCAGGACCGACAACTTTAACAGTACTGTTTGTTTCATCGGCGATAACCAGCCTATCTTTGTTTAAAAGGAATGAACCAGAGATGGTGCAAACAGACGTGTCACACGGTGCCCTCACATTTATTTCAGCAATTTTTGCAAGTCTTGGTTCTACTTTTTTTCGTTTTTTAAATCTCGGCAGGACGTATTGTAGATTTAACATTGATGGA